GCACGTCGCCAACATCAAGGCTGGTTCGATGACAACGACACCGCCATCAGCAATCTACTCGTCGAGAAGAACTGTCTGCACAAAACCTACTTTACTCGTCCCACCGACGACGACAACAATTCAGCCTTCTACCGTAGTCGTCACCTTGCGCAACAGCGGCTGCGCGAGATGCAGGATGCTTGGATGGCTCGCAAGGCCGAAGAGATGCAAGGGTACGCGGATCTCAATGAATGGAAGAACTTCTTCTCTGCCATCAAAGCCGTCTACGGTCCGCCAACTGAGGCAACTGAACCTCTTCATAACTTCGACGATAGTATCCTATTCACTGGAGAGACACAAATTCTAGAGCGATGGGTCGAACAAATCAGAGGCATATTCAACCTCTGGGGGTTCGTATCCCACCGTGGGACAGAGTTTTTCACTGTTGGGTCGATATGAAATATGTTACTGGCAATATTTTAGTAGGATGTGCATTTAACATTACCAATGTATGTACCGTTTTCAACAGGGTCATCAAGGGCATTGCCCACTATATACGAATTCAGAGACGTCTTGAACTATCCTTCCGCCATATCCGTAGCCGTTATTGCCTGTCTGCCTCAGGTGGACTCCAACATCGACCTCGACCTCCTGCCCTCTCTCCAAGAAACTATCAGGCCGTACAACAACTCTCCGGCAGGAAAGCTTCCGTATCAGAGCGATCCCCTCCGAGATTTACAAGCGCGTTGGCCCCCAACTCATGAATCATCTGATGGCGCTCTTCCAGGAGATGCGGCGTCAAGAAGAAGTTCCGCGGGAATTCAAGGATGCCACAATTGTCCATCTATACTGGCGGAACGGGAATCATCAACTCTGTGACAATCATCGAGGCATCTCCTTGCTGAACATCGCCGGGAATATCTGCGCTCGCACCCTCTTCAACCATCTCAATAACCATCTGCAACAAGGACTCCTGCCGAAAAGCCAATGCGGCTTCCGTCGTCATCGTGGGATCACCGAGATGATCATAGCGGTCCGCCAACTGCAGTAGAAATGTCAGGCGATGCGGACCCACCTCTACTTCCCCTTCGTGTATCTGACGAAGACCTTCGACAGGGTGAATCGCGACGGATTGTGGAAAATAATGCAGAAATTCGGCTGTCCTGAACGATTCACCCAAATGGTGCGTCAGCTCCACGATGGCATGATGGCGCGAATCACGGACAATGGAGCTGTCTCAGAGGCATTCTCAGTGACCGATGGAGTGAAGCAGGACTGCGTTCTCACGTCTACTCTCTTCAGTCTCATGTTGTCTGTTATGCTGCTGGACGCCTACCGTGACGAACGCCCTGGAATCAACATCGCCTACAGGATGGACGATCACCTCGTCAATCAGCGGCGGATGCACTCCCAGTCATTTTACTTACAACCACGGTCCAGGAACTTCTAGACGCCGATGACTTCGCCCTCAAGCTGCCTTTCCGTCTGTAGAGATGGACAATTGTGTTGTCCTTGATTTCCTGCGGATCTTCTTCTTGACGCCGCATCTCCTTGAAGAGCGTCGTCAGATGATCCATGAGTTGGGGGCCAACGTGCTTGTAAATCTCGGAGGGAATCGCTTCTGATCCGGACGCTTTCCTGCCGGAGAGTTGTTGTACGGCCTGATGGTTTCGTGGAGAGAGGGCAGGAGGTCGAGGTCGACGTTGGTGTCCACCTGAGGCTGACGGGCGATAGCGGCGTCGGGGATGACAGAGGGATGATGGGTTCGAATCCCACCGAGTCGCCGTGTTTTGCACAATTCGGTCTTTATGAATTATTCAAAATCTGAAAAAATATCTATGAATTACGTTGGCCTGGTAGTCTACTGTTGGATTCTAGGTGAATTTCTAAGGAAATCCTACTTGAGCAGTCAATTTACTCTATCAGATTTGATGGATTCCAAACGTAGCAGTAGGATGAGCGGGTAACTTGACCCAAATGTGATTAAACTCGCGTCGTCCGGCGGGGCCTCGTAGCTCAAGTGCTTAGAGCATTGGCTGTGCTAAAGTTTTCCCCTTGCTGCAACGGGTTCGAATCCCACCGATGCGCCGAGTTTCTCACAGTTGTGTCAATATGAATTATTCAAAATCTGCCAACATATCTATGAGTAGCATATTTGTTTACAGTGGGGAACTGAGAAGGCTGCGGCAGCCTGTCCTTTCCTTGTGCACATGAAATTTTAAGTGTAGTTATATACGCTCAACACAAAATGCAGTCATTTGCGTAGTTTGCGGAAGAAAATTTCGTTAAACGTGCAGGGATGTGTTACGTAGGGATGAAATTACGGTTCTGCTGGGTTCTGAGCCGGGAGGAGAGGAGGTGGGAGAGAACAGTTACGGCTCAGAACCCAGCATGACTCCCTGCCCGCATCACCCCTTACACGCTAATGGCCCGCCTGTCAATGTTTGTCCTGTCGCGTCAACTAGGCTATTGTGACTGTCTCACTTTCTCTTTTATCATCATTTCGTCTGACGACGGGTTGATGTCACCAATTCGAAAATTCACGAGTACAACTCGATTTTTTCCGAAGAACCTCTTCGTTTTTCGTTATATCGTCTCGGAATGCATGCCACCTCTGCTCTACAATAAAATTTATGGCTGGTGGCAGATAGTCCTGCAGTGACATTCTTAGTTTATCAAGTATCAATTGATGCAACTTCCTTTTGAATACAACCATTGTATCAGATGTCACTGTTTCACTTGGGAGTGAGTTCCACGGTCGAACAACACGCTGACTAAATGAAAACTTCCGATGGTCTAGGTGTGTACGCTCCCGCTTGACTTTGTACGAATTACCGCGCAGGAGAAGTCAAAAGAAGTCCTCAGATTTGAGCGAACATTCATGCCCGTGGATAATGCGGAACGTCCATAACAGGTCACACCTCATTTATGTATAGGATAGGGGAAACAAGTTCAGCAGGATCATTCTTTCTGGATATGACAAAGTCCTGAGACCGGCCACCAGTTTTGTGGCCCGTCGTTGCACCTGCTGTATGGCATCACTGTCTTTCTTCATCCAGGGCGCCCATACTGGTATTCCGTATTCCAAATGCGGTCTGACGAACGTACCGAATATCTGTGAGAAGAGTTCGGGAGGAAAGACCGTGTAGGCACGCCTAATTCAGTGCATGATGCCTTTTAGACGGCTCTTTTGCAGTGCTCGGGGAGCAGCAAGTTTGAACTTGTCCAGATATCTAAGTCTTTGTGCGTGTCCACTTCGTTTAGTGGAACCCCATTTATGGTGTACTGGTGTTTCGGGAAGCATCTCCGATCAGATTCTAAGCTCAAGACTAAACATTCAGATACGTTGAAGGTTAGAAGCCACTTGCTGGACCATGCAGTCAACTTATCAACATCTTCCTGTAATTTCTGCGAGTCGTCAACACAGCTGATTGTTTTCCGGATCTTTATATCATCTGCATACATGATGGCATCATATTCAAGATCAGCAATACAGTCGTTTATGTAGATGAGGAAGAGGACCTAAGACTGAACCCTGCGGAATGTCGCTTTCTACTGACATCCATTCGGATGCAGGGGTACCAACAATTACTCTTTGGAGCCTGGATTCTCCTTTGAAGATGGGAGAAATAAGGGCCATTTCCCATTCCTCCGGCAGTTCGCTTTCTTCCATGGACTTCTGAAATATCATGGACACCGGCTCACACAGTACGTCAGCTAATTCTCGAAGGACAAGTGGATGAATTCTATCGGGACCAGGTGATTTGGCAGGCTTCAGCCGGCGTAGTTCAGTCCTTATCAATGTGGGCGAGAAAAAAAGACTGTTTTCTAGTGCAGATGAAGGATTTTGTTGTTGGCCTGGGTAAGGCATAGGAGGAGGAGTTGTGTCATGAGTGAATATCGACTGAAAGAAACTGGAGAAAACTGATGCTTTCATGTGGTCATCTATCTCAATTACTCTGTTTTGGGACCTCAGTGCCGGAATCGGGTCGCGATTTCTCTTGCCATTACGCATGTAACCATAGAGGGTTTTAGGATGCTCCAAAAAGTTTTGCAATATGCATAGCTCATAGTTCTTCCAAAGTCTATTAGTCTCGCGTTTACACACATTCCGCTGTCGCTTGTATTCCTTCAGGTGTTCAGAACTCTCTGTTTGTCGATAGCATCTCCCCACTTTATTTCTCCTCTTAAACGCGGTTTTTAGTTCCCGGTTTATCCACGGTGGACGGCTGCTTGTTTTCTATCGTTTGAGCGGACAGTTTTGATTAACGATTCTTTTACCCAGTAAGCTGAACGTGCTCCAATAGTCGTTAACTGTTCCCTGCAATGTGGTTACCCACGGTATTGCCGAGACCTGCGTTTCCATGCTGGAAAAATCTCCCTTCCAGATATTTGTTTGCAATTGTTCAGGTGAATCGGGTTGGGAGAACACGAGGTACTCGAAGAGCATCACAATATGATCACTAGCACCAAGTAGCGGGTGATCTTGTACATCCAACGCACTCTCCTCATCTCGAATGAGCACCAGGTCAAGGCAATTTGAACGTTGCCCTTTTCTAACATGTGTTCCGAGAGTTACATTCTGGAAAAGTAATTTTTCTGCTACCAATTTAAGAAAATGTTGTCGGAATGTGTTCGATGAACCCGAAACCGTCCAAGCTTACCAGCCGATATTGGGGGCGTTAAAGTCCCCAACAATAAGGACGTCTCTGCTCGAGCAGGTCTTGTTCAGTTGCGTTAGGAGAAGGCTATCGTGTTCGGCAAGCTGGTTTGGCGGACGATATACAACTGCAAACACCAGCGGCCGGGCGTATCTAGTGGAGATAGTTAAAGATAAAAATTCCACTTCTGACGTTGCTGTTGGATGTTGATCAGGGACCGCGGTCAGGTTGTAGCTAACATAGACAGCGACCCCCCCCTCTTCGGCTTTTCCTGTCTCTTCTAAACAGTATATAGCCTCTGCGGGATACCTCATGATCTTCAATAGCTTCAGAAAGCCGTGTTTCTGTCAAGACAATGATATCTGGCGTACGCTCGTCGACCAATGTCCTGAGTTCATCCATCTTGTCAAACAGGCTCTGCACATTCGAATACGTCACCTTTAGTGTTCGTCTTCTCGGAGGGAACCAGCCCTGATTACAAAGGGGGTTAGCCACAGGAAAGATCGCTTGATCTGTATTATCTTCCCTTCGTTTATTTTCAATCCCTTCTCCCCCTCTTATGTCCTCCTCTCAAGTTCTGTCCAGAGCTCCCTCATCTTGTGTCTGTCGGTTCGTAATCCGTCTTAAAAAACCTCCTTATGCGAATAACGAAGAGCCATCCTCCCTTCTAGGAGACGTGAAGACTGGGCTCCATTCGCAAGAATAATTTCGAGAGGCCTTGGTAGTCCACGCGACGCACCTGCTATTCCTAGACGGAAAGCTTTGTGCACGGTATCACATTCTCTGACATTTGAATATGTTCGAAAGAGGTTGAGATCGTGTTCGCTTCTTTCTTTTCTTATCGAAGAAGTGGACTCAAGAGCTCCCTTTATGACGATATTTCGTTTTCGGTCGAGGTGTCGGTTTGATAGAGAACCACAGCGTTTAATTTTACACACAGGGCCAGCATTCCGCCGATTTCCATTGTCATCATCGTTTACTTCAGAGAAAACTGTCATGGCGTAGCTACCACAGGGTTCCTCATCCATCGAGGCTTCTTGGTCGTGCGATGCATCCCTCGACAGTAGGGTATTTGCTGACATTGCGCGTGGACTCTGCTCTCTCATACGGACACTCTAACCTGCTTTGTTTTTTCGGGATGCCCTGGGGCGCTTCTGAATTTCCTGAGATCCCTCTCTGTCGTTATTTTCTCGCACAAGAAGTCGGTTCTCGGTTGTGATCTGTTCCTTAGACGGGCTGTCTTCTTCCTGGGTGGGTGATCCAGTTAATGAGACTGTGCTCGAATATGTTCTTTTTTCTGACGTTCTGACATCGCCGGCTTTCTCTTTTCGGGTGAATGGCGAGGAAGTTTAATCAACTTCTCCATCTCCATTTTTAGGTCTCGTATCCCATTCTCAATCTCCAAGACTTTCTGAAGAAGTCTGAAACATGGCGCATGGGTTTCGTCCTCGTTTTCGCAGTTGACATCCATTAAGGCTACCAAACTCCCGATCCGCTTGGCAGAGGGAAATCTGATAGCAGGAAACCCTACGCTATATCCATTTATACAATATGCATTGTTTATTACATTATTTTTTCAGTCCGTCTCGTACGCGTCAGTGGTCTATTGGTAACGGCACCCTCTTGATTAGGGTCGATTCCGACCCGGGGCAAACTTTTCGAGCAACAACCCACACGCACTTGTTCGATTACCATTTTTAATTAAATAAACTGGAGAAGTTTTTAAAGATGTCGAAGGGGCTATTTAATGAGACCAACGATATAAAGCAAATAGCAAACGACTCAGCTG